TTTTTTGTTTTCTTCGGCTAGATCTATTCATGTTCGGTTCGTTTTCGGATCACATGGGCGGATATGTTGTTTTCTCCGACTAGATCTCTGGTCTAGGTCGGTTTTGGTTTTCCCCGCCTCGATTTAATCTTTTTCTCCTTGATTTGATCTTGTGCAGGGTTTCTTGAGTGTTGGAGCGCCTTGTAGTTGTAGCTTTGGAACGGTTGCCGTGATGATAGCCAGACTTTTCGATCTCTCCTGTTTGTTGTGTTCTCCAATGGTGGTTCCGTTTGCAAAGTGTTGGGCTCTGTTTCTTCCACAAATCTGGAGCCTGTTTTTCATTTATTTGCTTTGCTTCAAAATTTGTATGCCTTTTCTAGCTTGGTTTTATCCCTCTGTACTGCCATTAGGGATGGCAACGGGGCGGGTTTGGAGCGGGTTTCCCTAAATCTCACCCCGCCCTTTTTAATTTTTGTCAAGTCCATGCCCGCCCCAAGACCCTCGATGGGTTGGATTTTCATGTCCAGCCTCATGTCCAGCCCCGCCCCGTTGGGCAATATTGTGCCCCTGTGCTCGCCCCGCTAACAAATTTTTTTCTCCCACTTTTTGAAACTTAAGCTCCTGCTATTTGAATGTGGAAAGCCTGGAAATGGCACAACATAAATGAAACTATGTATCCTAACAAAAAAAAAATAATAATATACACATAACATAATTCAGAGAACATAATAAATAAAAATAAAGTTTAATACAACCAAATTACAAGAAGTTTTAAGCTCTAACTTCCACCATAATCAAAACAAAAGCAAATTTAATACCAAATTTACGTGTATATATATATAATATTGTTATATGCTTAGCGGGGTGGGGCGGGGCCCCTAGGATATGTATATTGAACCCTTACCCGCCCCGTGATCCGCGACGGGTACAAAATTTGTATCCATGCCCGCCCCAACGGTATAAAAAGTGTTCCCATATCCGTTATTAACGGGGCGGTAAAAATTGACATCCCTAACTGCCATCTTGGCTTTGAGCCTTTGTGCCTTTGAATGACAAAAAAAATAAATAAATAAATAAATAAATAAAATAAAAAATATAATAACTATTGCGGACAAAAATTTAGAATTACTCTTAATAATTTTCAACTAGAATGTTGTTTGTGGCCAATCTGGTATTTAAATCAATGAGGGAGGTTCATGTAATTATGTTATTCCTGAAGGAAGCCAAACGTAATTTATTTTTTATATTGTTTTGCAATTTATGTATTGTACCTTGCATTTAAACAAATTTCTCTTCATGTTAAAGAATGTTATGGTATAAAGATTCGGAAGCCCGTAGATCTAATGATTTGAGATGTTGGCCGCTTGAATCCACCGGATCTATTTGATCATAGAAATATTGAGTGAACTAGCTTCTCTTTAAAGCGAGTGAGGTGGCTTTACTCCGTTCTGTTTTTGTTTTCAATGTGCCATTTTAAGTTGGATGTCCTTAATGAGTTTTGCAATCCAAATTAATTTTGCACTCTCGGTGGAAGATCTATGAAAAATTTTATAGTCTCAATTCTATTATGTTTTTGTTTTCGGTGTGCCATTCTATGTTGGATGCCCTAAATGAGTTTTGCAATCCAAATTAATTTTGGAGTCGGTTGCAGTTCTATGAAGAATTTTATAGTTCCAAAATTTACGGATGTAACATCTCTAAGCATTTGAAAAATGTGGAACATTTTTACGTTTGACAAGTATTTTTTCTGCTTTTTTTATTGTATTATTTGAAAACTGTTTTTAATTACTCTTAAATAACTATATGTGGAGAACAGTTTTTAATAACTTTTTCGAGAATACTATTTTTAAAAATGTTTTAAACTCAATTTTTGGAGGTTGGGTGTGTCACTCCTTTGGCTTTCTAATTTAAATAAGACTTACGTTTTCTTTGATGATAAGATGAGAGTAAAAAGGAAGGAATTAGCATTGAGGACAATCCTTGCTACTTGACATTATGGACTCTTTTTGGGTAAATCTATATATTTGGACAGACAAAACAACAAAGCCAATAACGTGCCAATAGTTGTAGAGGTTGCTTGCAAAGTTTAATGGAATTTCCTAATTCAACTAAATTGTTCTCAAAAAGCAGGGGCACAACCTAGTAATGTAAAATTAAGTAATGTAAAATTAAAATTTTAAAATAATTTAAACTCATTGTAAGAAATGAAGCCTTTTGTTAGATTGTGATCTTATCATTGAATTAAATACCCTTCAAAGTTGCGAAATTACAAATGATCCCTTTAACTGTTAAGATGTAAATTTTATTTTACTTTATTTTAATAGCTTTTTTATTGCTAAAGCCTCTTTTGTAATTTCAGCAATGCTTAGTTACAGTAGCAAGGGTCACTTTTGTCCACTAAAGAAGTTATACATTATAATCTATTCACATGAATATGCTGAAAACGTAAATTGGATCGAACCTATTTTACATTTAAATCCTTCAATATTTTGTTTAAAGAAAATTTGTTATCAGAAGAATCAATATATGTAAACATTCTAATGATGTGCGTAAGTGAATACAATCAAAACAACACATAAATTAAACACCCAAAAAATAAAATTTGGTAGAGCTCTCAGTCAAAGGCCAAAGTTTTTCCACATGAGAAAACTGGAAGGAAGGGCAAACCCTCTCAAAAATTAAAGCCAAAGTGATAGAGCCACAACTCACAAGAGCTTAGCAATGTCTTCATCTTATATCTATAAGAAAGAGGTATTCATATCATTTTTAATGATACATAAAACACCTCAAACTCATAGACAAAATAGAGTCATAAAACACCACCAAGCACACACCAAGTGGTGGCAAATCACACACTTTGACCTAAATCCCAAAAGGGTTTTAATCCCGATCCCTCAGCTTCCTCTTCAGTGTGGTTAAAGCAAATCAATCATCATCGAGCACTCCAAACAAACTTATTCAATAACAAACATATGTGCTAATATGAACCGATCTGAAATCGCCAGTATGTGGTAAAAATTTAAAAAGAAAGAAAGATCATGAGAAGAGTATGGAACCTACGAGAAAACGCAGAGATCTACTGAGAAAAGGAATGTGCGTGTCCATAGGTACCTCTATTTCAATTCGATTTCGCATCTCTTCGTAATTTCTCTGCTATCAATCAGAAGAGAAAATCATAGTTTGATGCCTTTTTTTTCAATCGTAAAGAGACGAAAATTTTCAGAGAAAAATATGTTGTGTGAAAAGAAAAGGGTGAAAATACTAGAAACTACTGTAGATTTTTTGGAAGCAGTGTGGCGGAGATAAGTGCGACAAAAGATCGATGGTGTCAAATATATAGGGATCAGAAATTAGGGTTTTGAGGGAAACTTTCATTGGTAGGTCGCAATCTTTTTCTGTAATTACATATCTGCCCCTTGGTTTTGCCCTTGATATAGTCGGTAACTTTACCGTTCATGTTTAGATTTGAAGGAGTTAGATGGATAAGAGATAATTACAAGGGATTTTAAAGTTTTTTTATTTTTTTTATTTTTTATTTACCTCTCTAAAGTACTAACTACTAACCTTTAATATTTGAGGAATATTGTTTTCATTGCGTTTTCTTGAAACATATGGTTCGGTGAGTTTTCTATTTTAAAATAATTAAAAATAGAAAAAATTGTTTTGATTGTAATTTTAATTTTTATATTTTCAAATAGTTATCTTTCATATTTATCTGAAAATTCAAAATTTTATAACTATTTGAACCAAATATGCAGACTTCTTCATTTTTTATTTTTTATTTTTTCTGCAAACCTATAATTATTGTATAAAACATGTTGTGCCCAAAATTGTCGATGCAAGTCTGTTTATTAATTAAAAAATAAAAGGGGCACGTAGGTACAAGAAAAAATTTCTGTCACGCCTCCCTTTTCTTTCCTTCCCATTTGTACATGGCTGTCGGGCTGGTGGGCTGTCTCTTCTTTTGGGCTGATCCAGTCTATTATTTGCTTGGGCCATAAGGCCCATTTGGTCCTTTGTTATTTTGTCGGTCTGGGCTCTTTTAACCCTTTCGCCTGCCCACAATTTTGTTCTAAGTCGTTGGTTAGCGTCAAGTAATTAGAAAGAAAAAAATTATATTTAAAGTTTTTAAAAGTTTGGTTCGAGAAAAAATTAAAGTTTTGGAGAAAGTAAGATTCCCGCATTTGAAAAAAAAATCAAAAAAAAAATTTCTTGCATAAATAAAAATCCACTTTTCTGCCAAAGTTATACACTTTATATACTTACTTTTATATTATATTTTTTCAGTAAATAAATTATATTTTTTCTGCCAAATTTCATTGAAAAAGAAATTATATTTTTTCAGTAAATTATTTTTTCCTTTAATTATTATTATGTGTTTCAAAAAGTGTGTCTCACAAATTTCCTTGACTCACAATTTATCGGTGGAAAGATAGTATTTTTTTTGCAAAGGTCGGAAATAGGGTGAAATTAATGAGTATTGAGGCTTGCAAATTGGCGGCGTGGGAGAATCCGAACGGTTGGCAGATGTGGCTGTGCCTTGGAACTCGCGACGTCATTATCACTATGTCTCCTGTGCTGCATCATTTTTCGAGTCCGATTCACGGTTCGTTGTCCTCCCGGCGGCTTTCTTGTTTCGATTATGTGCTTCCTCTCCTTCGTTCTTCAAGATCAGTTGTGTTACCTCTTTTGTTTCTGCAAAAAATTTCTTGTACCTACAGGCAGGTTTTTGAATTTGAACATTGTTTTTCTCATCTTTCATATTTGAAGGCGACAGAAGATAGGATAGTCAAAATGAATAAAGAAGAAAGAAACTTGCTTCAACTCTAATCATTTTGACATTCTTCCTGACTTTAGCATGGCTGAGCCACAACATAACTATATTTTTACTACAATTAACTCCCTGTACTCGATGGATGATCCGATATTTGTAATGTGTTTCACATTACAAATGTTTATGTTCAGAGGAATACAGAATTTAAATTGAAAGTATGAAAAATATTGTTTCAAGATTATTGATGTTAAGGCAAAAAAAAATCATATAGATATAACTTAAAAAGAATAATAAATCAGTCAAAGCCTTGCAATCCAGGCACTTCAACTTGCTTTGTACAAAACTAATTGGACTGCTTCCCAAAACTACCAGGTTGCTACCCAAAAGATCACTTACAACCAACCTTCCCACCCCCCCACTTCATATATTTTCTGTGGAATAACAAAATTGGATGATTTGCAGTTCTGCAAGGAATGGGGGAAAAACTGCCGGGTAGCACCAGTTGGCCGGAATGATTCTAAAACATGCCAATCTATAAGAAAACTGCACTCCATGCTAGAACTTTGATTATAATTACAGCACTTGTAAAAGCACCACCGGAAAGGTAGTGGGCAGGAGAGCCTGAGGCGGTGGAATTCAAAGCCGGGGCTGTGCTGTTTAGAAATGTTGCATTCTTGCCACCACTGCATGCACACGGATGAAAATATGAGTTGCTTATCAATCAATGAACTAAAACTTCAATCTTTTGATTATTTTGTTGAATAAGTGAATATTACCTCCCTTGAAATACACAAGAACCATGGCCTGCACCGCAAAAACAAGAAGAAAGTACTATAAATCAGGTGGTCCATTCCCTTGATAAAACATTCTATGAAATGAAAAGAAGCTAGAACACTAAATGTAATTCCTCTATTGCTATAATCTTACTTGGATCTGTGGTAGTAATTGCAGCCACGCCATTGAAGTCGCAAGTCCCTGAAGCCTTCCCCATCTTGTGATAGTAAGAGTCAAAAGCATAAGTTGCATGTGCAGCCACACTGTCCGGTTCATAGCATGGTTGCCCCTGCAACAAAGGCGAACAATCCACCTTGCCAGGTCCACAAGCCCAATCTAAAGCAGCCTGCAGCATTTTTTGATCAGCACCTTCCCTTGCAGCACAGTAAGTCTGGTTTGTAGTATCATTTGCCAGCATTAACCCTGAGCCAGTCAAGTGTAGAATGTAAATGGGCACCCCATTTGCATCAAACAGTCCCCAGTTCTTTTCTGACACAGGCCCAGGCTTCAAATCCTCGTTATAGAGCTCATAAATATAAGTGCTAACAGTGATTCCGGGGTGTTTAGGCGTCCCAGTTTTATTGAGGACATGCTTTATCAAATTGCTGTTGTAGGTGTTGGCATTATCTAAAGTGGCATCTGGCTCATTAGCATCACCTTTTGATGGCCACCCTGACTCAGTTACTAGTACAGGAATGTTAGTGAAATTAAGATAAGCCATTGCAAAGTAAGCTGCATCAGTCATAGCGTCAAAGACATTGGAGTAGTGAAGGAGAGTATTAGCATCAACGGCTTCTTTGTTTGAGGGAAGTGGTCGGAAGAGTGCATAATCTAATGGAATAACGCCATTAGATTGCATGTAATCATAATAAGGATATATATTTAGCATAAAATACGAGCCTGTTGACTGCAAGAATTTAAGCATGGGGACTAAAACTGGATTCCAAGAGTGGTTAAAGAAGGCTTGTGATGGTGGGAATGAGTCAAGGATAATGGAAGAAGAAATGGGTGTTGAAACTTTGACTTGCCTGTCAAGATTGGATGCCACGAGCGCTGAATGAATGAACTTGAGGGCATTGACGAGGATAGACGCTGCATTAGGGAGGGTGGTTAGAACCTCCGAGCCAACACAAATGGTAGTGATGTTAGTAGCTGGGTAATGTGCTACAATATTCTGGGAGACCCAATTAGCGGCAGTAGAATTTGATTGACCAATGCCCAAGAGCTGTTCGTTGGGGACAGAGACAGCAACTTTAATGCCCGTATTGGCAAGTGCAAGAAGCATGCCACGGTCAGCATTGTATAGCCGGACATGTCGTATTTGCTGGGCTTTAAGGAGGGCTACTACTTGAGTTGGGTGTGGCATGTCTGACAGGTCTGTTCCAATGTTCACGCCAACAAATGCATCTGCAAGAAAGGAGTAGGTCATTGTAATGCTTTAAATTAAATAGGGCAAAAAAGGAAAGAGGATTTAGCATTTGAACGAGTGTATCTCATATATCTCCTAAAATGGAAGATTGGGGATTCAAGTCCCAAATGGCGCAAAGAGGGTGCATTGTATGAGTTATTTGCCAGAGAAAGAAAAAACATCTGAAGAGTGAAAAGTCCCTGTCCAATGACAAAATTCAATTCATTTCTATCTACCTTCGTAATAACATGGAATATTAGGCAAGAATCCTACCGGCAAAAGAGTGCTAGAAAAATAATAAAGAGCTTCAGCAAATAATGACACATATAACTTGAATCTAAATTCCATTGTAGCAAGTGATCATATAGAAAACATTTCACTTTAGCATATACAAGTGTTTAAATTCCTTGTGGCAGAACATGGATTTGCCAAACCTACAATCTGAAGAGAGGAGATGACACTGTGGCAGAGCAGATTGGTCATGATTGTCTGAAGTAACGCACCTACTAAATGCAGTTAAACCAACAGATCACTACATCAACCCATTTCACGAAGAGAGATGTCCAAAGGAGATTTTTCTAAATTAGTGGATCAAATATTAAAAACTGGAAAAAAAAATTTTGGCACACATGTAACTTCGATCCATCTACGCGATTGTCACATACCTACTACTGCAATGTAATATGATTACATTTAATTCTGAGTTGAAATTTCAGACAACATGTCAACAGCATGATTCTAATGAATAGTGCAGTCCAAAAGATTGTCCAACTGCGATCTTTGGCCTAAGAAATTAATTAACCTGGTGTCCGTCATGGGTTTCCACCCACAATAGACCTCCTTTTTTTTTTTTTTTTTTTTTTTTTTTTTTTTTTACACACACATGTTTCTTATGAGACTTGAACCCCTAACCTCCTTTTAGGAGATAAGAGGCTGATACCGTTAGGCCACTGGCCCATTAGTAATAGATATGAACCGTTGTCAGCCATAAGCTTATGCTTTTCATTTTCATAGTTACAATATTATTTATAAAGAGGACAAAATTAAATAAAAATGAAAAAAAAAAAAACAATCAACAAATTTTCTATCAATCTTTTCAACTTTTTTTCCACAGATTCGTATCAACTCTAAAACTTCTTTCAATTGTTTCTTAGTGAAGCCGACAAAATTTGCATATAGTTATGGTATCAATTCAACTAAAGTAGTGTACAAGAAATAGGACATACAGTAACAAAAGTAGTCACACCATTATCAATTGGAAGCAATTATTGGACATATGCTTCATAATATGGAGACACAATGCAGCATGTCATGTTCTCATATCTATCCAAAAATCCGAATACTGTCATAAAGCAGCATTCCATAGGTCTCTCAAGTGGTCCAAGTCCTAATTTCCAAGTGCTAACCACCAGAATGCTAAAATTAATAACCTTTTACAGTTCGACATGACTGAGGCAAACGATCTTTTAAGAAATCATCCAGTATATGTCATACATATATTCCGAGGGGAATGATTTGGGACTGTGGTGTATCTTCGTGACTTGTCACCGGGAGTGAAGTGGGTCCCACTTAAGACTAAATCGATGAAATTGAACGGTTACCATAGTCTTCAAAATTACTCCATGCTCCGAAATGACCACTAGTTTTTCAAGGCAGAGGTCCAGGGGATAGAATGGTCAACAAGTCTTGATAAACACGGAGGAAGAAAATCTAAAAAACAGCTGTCCTCCAACATACACATATCTATCAGTGACAACGCAGGACCCTCCTTTTATTTACATTTAGCAACAACATAAACATTGTTTATACTACTTGTCTACGAGGTATCTGAACTCTCTACCCCACTACTGTCCTCCTTTATTACTCACATTAAAAGCCAACCTAGAAAACTTCAGAGAAGATAGAGAATCCTCACTCTGTAAACCTCTTTTCTTTTGTCTTTTTTCTTCTGAGAGGTATGCTTTCAAGCTTCAAACATGCCACTTGCACATCACTGTATATTGGCATTCATTATATACTAAAAATTATGTTTGTGAGCATTTTCTATTTTCTTCCTTTATGCCCAATAAAAATCAGCTCATTTTAAATACTGTACAAAATACTAGTTAAAAAGAAAATCAATACTGGTTTTCAATTTAGGGAAAAGGAGTGGGTTGCAATTCCATTGATAGATTCAGTTGGACACGAGTTCAAATAGCACATATAGGTAATTTACATAATACCCATCTCTTCAAGCCAGCTAAAACATGCACCAACACCAACAAATCTTAGGGAAATATATATATTAAGCAACCAAATGATAATCCTATAGAAAATGGAAACAATGAACTCAGAGGAAGAACCAAAGGAAATAGAAGAGATAATTAAAAAAGACTCACCTTCATCTGCAGAAACAATAGAGACTGCTAAGAGAAGAAGAATCAGCAACGCCATTGAATTTTCAGAACAAACTCTCTCAACGATTCGAATGAAACCCATCAAATTTAGAGAGAGAGGGGGGGCTATTAAGGGCAGTGGAGTGATGAAGATGGGGAGTGAAAACAAAATCAAGAAAAAAGAGAGTGGGGTAAGGACGATGGGTTGGGGGTATTTATGAGATAGTGGGATCTGTCATCAATCACGTGTAGTTAATTTGTCAGAAGATCAGACGGCTAAGGAATCATCTTCTGGGTCCATAGCAAAGCAAGCAGCTTGGGTTATTTGCCTAGAGCATTGCACTTAGCATCTCTCTTTGCCTAGAACCGAACAACACACTTTGTTGGTAGCCGTTACAGGCTTTTTCAGCAGTTTTGGTTTTTTTCTGTGCAATTGTGCATGTAGAGAAAACATGGCCCACCGCATTCACTGGAAAACGTAGCTGGTTTTTCAACGGTCATATTTTGTACTTCTTTATTCTTTTCTAGGCTTTTACATTGTCTCTTGTGTTCAATTTTTAACCTTTTTTATCCTGGTAAAACATTTTCCCTCATTACCACTATCGACCAATTTTTTTTTTCTTCATATACTTTTATGCCACCACTGTATTTCATTTTATTTGACTTAAAACGAGGTGTATTTGACATTAAAAATTGAAGTGATAGTAGCATTTCAACAAAAATTGTGGGTCTGGGACTGATGAACTTTTCTGTCGGTCGTACAGAGTGAATGTTCAAATTATTTGTTGTATAAAATATATATATATACACTAAGCCATCTATTCCTCTCGATTGATTGCTGCGCGTGTTGAGGAACCGGTGCGTATGACACAAGTTTGTAACTTGGGGTGAAGACCCCGCCCAAAGGAGTTCCTGTTTCCAAAAAAATAATAATAATAATAAATAGAGAACAAGCATAGGGGGAAAGAAAAAAAAATGAATGAATTGATGTTAAATTGTTAATCACTTGTTTGAGTTATCACCATTTTTTTCGTTTTCAATAAATAATTATTTATTTGACTTGTCAATAATTAATGGAATGAAGTGGATGAGGGGAAAAAAATTCCTATGAGATGGCCAAGGTTTTTTGTTTTTTTTTTTTTCATTGGTAATACACATTCACACATTAACATACTTGTTTTTATTTATATAAGATTATGAAGTATCTAATAATCACGTGCATCTAAATTTGACACTGACGTACATTTTTCATTTTATATTTGATTTGTCGAGATAATTAATAAAATGAAGTAAAGAAAAAAAAACAATTGATATCAAGACTCACAACACTTCCTCGTAACATAAAACACGCAAAAACATGTAAGTATGAGTTTCATTTGCTTTCTGTAGATAATCTATTAATTGTAATTATTAGCAATGGAGCCAAAAAGAAAAATATAGAAATGGGATGGGGAGTTGGAATATGATTTGCTAAATTATTTTTCAGGCTCCTTTGCCCATTAGCCAAGCGCTTTACGTTTCATAGTAGAAAGTCGGGATTTGATGCTATCCATGAAACCGAAAGAAACAAAAAATCAATACCTTTCGTATAGATCGAGACTTTTCGCTTGATCCGTTACTCATTCCATAAATATATACCTACTTGCCTTACATATAGCCTACTCGGAATTCAGGTTAGCAATATCGGCTAGCAATGCATATGTGGCTTGCTAGGGCCACATCAGTATGGTTAATCACTATTTTTTATTTTTTTTTCTCATATATCTATTTATTTTTTTATTTTTTGGTTGCCTTTTCTCATATATTTGTTGACACATTTTAAAGAAAAAAAATTCATAAGGCAAACAAATAAAAATCATACATATTTTTTCAAAAATAAAAATAAAAAAACAAAATAATTAAAATTATAAATATTATTTTCACATTTTGTAGCACAGGAAATTTATTATTATTTTTTTCAAACATTGTAATTTATTTTTCTTAATTAACATAGCAGTTTTAAGAAGAAGAATCAAAGCTTTTGTAAAGTTAAAAATTGAGCCATTAGCAATTGTTGACAATTAGTCTCATGTGGAACCGTGTAAGCTTTAATAATTCGTGTCAATCATTCATCACAAATAAACATGAATTCCAAATGTTAAAACTTCTTTATTCTCGCATACCTGTAATGAATAAATAAATAGTTAGATATAAATACCTCGATCCATGATAGCAAACTTTGTTGAGATCAAGTCCAATGTCGAGATCTTTTAACAATGAACTAAGCCGCAACTCTGAACAATAGGCAAAGCGTGAAAATTGATTTCTCTCTCTTCGCCTTTTGCACACATAAACATTATACGTGTTGTTTTTATTAACATAAATAATTGATGGGAGATATGCACTTTATAATAGCATAGAGAGCACCGGTTTTCCTTTTAGTAACCTTAATTCCACTCTCCATCAAAATAAGGAATAAATAGAAAAATAGTTCTCCAATAATTAATTACCAAAAAGGTAATTTATAAGTTGACCAAAAAATATAATATTAATCTGATATCTATTTACTTAACCTATAATTAATGAAATATATCACATGTCCAAATTATGTGGCCACGCAATTAATAAATAATCTCACAACCCGTTCATGGATAGCAATAGGTATATTACCTGCTGCGAGTGGTATTGGTAGCCTTGTCATGGGACCCGCCTTTTGCTATCCTCACACCATTACTAATCCTAGCAATATTAACCGCTAATTAACAAAAATTGCTCCTATACCGAATGCTCTCACATATCCTAGTTTGTATGATACTCACTTATTTCATTCCTCACCTATATATATACATACATATAGGTGTTTTATCTACATTGTAATTTCTTCAATTTAATAAAGAATATTACGGTTATTCTAATGTATCAGAGCCATCCATTCTTTTTTATTCTTCTTTATGTTCCAATAGCCAATCAAAACATATATTTTATTCAGTGTCTGAAACATGTATTCTATAAGTCCTTTCTCTATTATGATTATATCATACGAAAAGTCTAGACTAAGACCATCTCGATGCCATAAAAAACAACCTTGTATGCACCCCATGCGCCGCTACAAGTTATGTCATTTCCTCCGCTCCAATACGCGCCTCCACGCTTCAATAAGCGTTGTCACGCGCCTTTACATGCCTGCAACATATACGGAATGCCATGTCATCAGTAACCACATAAGCAGAACGCTACGTCATTTGCGACATTATCTACCACTTCAGTAGCTAGGTAAAATAACACGTCAGCACTAACCCCATTTTTCGTGTCACGTCACCTGCCACATTAGCAATTGTGTCACATCAGCAACAATATAAACTTTTTTAAAACCTATTTATCCAACCAAAAGTTTTGCGCTGATTCCATATTTTTTGTCTATTTTTACATTTGGAATTTTCTAAACGGTACAAAATAAGATTTTTCATCCTATTCATGTTGTTCTCAAAGAGCTTGGCCAAAAGACAACATGTTTGCAGACTCCCACGTGTTTTTTTTATGCCATCAACTGCTTCTCAAATTGTGCCTTTTCAGTGAACATCCTCTCATCACAAGAGATGTCACAACCGCTATAATCACTCCCTGTACTACACTTTCTATCGAATTCGAGGGCAATATTTTCATCAATGTCGCACTCTTTTCAGCCAGACTATTTCTCGTCTTATATGTTTTGCTAGCTTTTATGACTCAGCTTTATTCATCCAACGCGCTGACCGGGGTATCATTATTCTTTTACTTTATATTGATAATATGATCATCAATGAAAATTATTTAATAGAAATTTAGGAGCTTAAACAGTTTCTCAATCATCAGTTTAAGATGATGGATTTTAGACCTCTCAGTTATTTTCTTAGTCTTGAGGTCACTATAACTGTTGATGGTGGCTACCCTACTCAAGCCAAGTACAGTTCCGATATTATCTCGAAAGTTATAATAACTAATAATAAAATTACAGATACCCCCACTCGAGCGCACTGTGAGACTTAATCCACATGATGGAAAATCTTTTCGTGATTGCATCTTGTATCGACAGCTGGTTGCCAGTTTGGGAGCATTTAATTTATTTATTTTTAATTGCATTTTTAATTATATTTTTTTGGGCTAAATATTTTATTAAATGATTATTGTGTTCATTAGCTAATTGTTTAGGTGATTTAAGTGGATATTTAATGTGCATTATTTGTCATTACTTAGTTGTGTGACTTTAAATTGTTTAATTGTGCATTTTGCTTGTTTAATTATTTATTTTATTTAGCCATAGATTGGGTTTTAAGTTTAATGAACCCAAACTGTGGGTTTGGGCTAATTGGAGAAGGCTTAGGTGTTGAAGAAGGATTATGGCCATTATATTGGATGGGGATATATGTGTGTGTGTGTGTGTGTGTGTGTGTGTGTGTATATATGTATATTTGGTTATTAGTATAATAATAATTATTATTAGATTAGTCAGTTTAGGGTTGGGATTAATATATTAGTATGCGCGCGCGTGTGTGTGTAGTTAGAAGGAGGGGTTTAGAGAACATGAATAGAAAAAGAGAGGCGCATAGATTTACACGAGAGAGATAAGAGAGGGAGACGGCCAGAAAGAAAGAAATAAGAGGAAAAAGTGATTGGAAAAGAGGGACAGAGGCACAAACAGTTGCCGGAGTTAAGGAGGAAGAACAGGGATTTTTACAGAGGGTTGTGTATTTAATTTTCAATCCAAAAATCATAAGGCAAGACTCTTTTCTATCTCTTCCTCTTTGAATATGTAGTCTCTACATCTTATGCTACATTTTAGGGACTAAAACAGAGAATTAAATGGATTAAATTTGATGTTATATGAATTTGGTAAACTGTTTTACATACTTTCATAAATATATGTTTTTACTTGTTTGATTTCTCAAATTAATGTATGATTCTTTATTTTAATTGTTGGGGCTTGTGTATTTTCATCATATATAACATTGGTGATGATATGGGACTTAGATGCAATAATTTAGGCCCGAACCAGAGGAGTTGCAGGTTTGAAACAAAAGTCGCGAAGTAGCAGATAGCATGTTTCGGTCGACCGATAGAAGTGTATCGGTCGATTGGTTTGGATATTTCGGCCAACTGAATCAGGGTATTGGTCGACCGAAACTTCCTATTAAGGTATGACACTTTTTGTTGTCTGAATTTAATGGTGTCTGGTTTGTTTTAACACTTTAAATAGGTATTGGTTGTTTATTTAAATCGGTATTGGTTGTTTGGATTACGTAGCATTGGTTACTTATTGGTAAAATTATATCCAACATTATATAAGTTGTTAGATATATATTATATCGTAGAATTGTTATAACCAATAGGATAATGATGTATTGGTTAGATGTTGGCTGATT